TTATTTTACTGTAATAGCATTATATATGCTTTCTCTTAATAAATGAAGGGCAAGATCGCCTAAGTTAAAAAAAAAAAGTTATGATTGTAAGTTTAAACAGGTTATTTTAATTTTACTGAAGTTTAAAATTGGTTATTATAGGGGGAGAAATAGATTTGACGTATTGTTATTATTGTTCGGAATAAAAATAATTTTTTGGAGTAAATAAGATAGTGTCTGTAAAAATCAATAAAATTGATATTTGTTTAACTATAAGTTATACGATCGTTATATAATTATAGATTGTATTATTTAATCATAAATCATATTAGTTATTTAGAGATTTATAGTTTTTGTTTGTTGATGTGATGTTATATTGTTTTCCGTATAAATTTATTTTATATTGTTATCTCGCAGGGATCGATTAAGAAAATTTCCTATTAATGCTATAAAAGAAAATTTTCACTCTTCTTATTTTTATATGATCTAGGTACATGTATATGAGCATGAATATGAATGAATTCGAAAAAATTTTGGTCTAAAGGTAAATTTTAATTATGAAAAAGTTATATGAAAATCAATATAATATGTGAAAAAAGAGAAATTATTAATGAAAAACAGATGAAAACCAAAAAGTCACAAGAACTGGAATTGAGTAAAAAAAAAAAAAAATAGAGATCGGAAAAACTTGGATTAAAAAAAAATTTTTATTATTTTGGATTTGGAAGAAATAATTGAAGAAATAATTATATTTGATTATCATCAAAATCAATTTATTGACCGTTTTCAACTTTCATTTATATTACAAATATATTTACCAAAAAAAATTTGATCATATGTCGATTTGCTCAGTCTACAAAGGTGCGAGTTGAAAGTTGGCTTGCTCATCAGTCTAGCCATTAGGCCTGTATCACTAAATACAGACATTGCATTGCGAACGGCACTATAGGAATATTAAATAATATCGATTTAACATTTATTGCAGGTAAGATATCAAAAACATAAATAACCAAAGCATTTTATTTTTATATATTTTAAGTTATATTGAACATCATTTACTCTCAAGTTCTTAATCCTTTTATTTATTGTATTGATAACTTATACGTGATTAGATATAATCTTTACGTACTATATAATATTATGCATTTTTAACATTTTAATCACAGCAGTGAAGCTGCTTTATTGGTCATATTCCAGTTTTATTTTTAATTAAGGTCAGTAGTGCAGATTTTCTGAACTATGTATCAGATTTCAATATTAGATGTATTGTATCATGATTAGGAAGATTTAAGACAAGTGATCGTTTTGCTAAAAATTGCTTATGGTTCAAAAATCAGTATAAGAACACTATTTTTTGAGCTTTAGCAAAAAGTTTTTGTTAAACAATTTTATCATAAGGGTTATTTTTCGTAGGTTCTAACTTTGATTTAAACTTTAACCTTAACGGATTTTAAGAATTTATACATTTACTATATGTTAATATAAATAAGGATGATGTAAATATTATGTAAAATATAAGAAATAAGATGAAATTGTTTTATGACATGAATGATGTAATATTTATAATTAATAGTGGTCATGTTATAATGTGTATCATATATTAGTTTTAGTGTAGAGATGCAGTCATTAAGCTGTAAGTTGTTGTAATTATAATAAGTTGTGAGAAAAAAAGTGCAATTTATTATAGTTACGACAAGGTACGTTATTATGACTGTATTTAAATTTTATCGGGAGATTGTTTGGTATTTTTGGTTTTATAATTTTTTTCATATTGACGTACAAATGATATTTTTTTTAGGAATGTTTATTTGTAATGATAGTAAAATAAATACAAGGAGTTTGATATCTATTAGTTTTTTTAGCGATTTTTAATGCCATATTGTATTGATACTATTATTAAAATTATTCAAGTTCGATTAACTGAAAAAGATGAATTGAATTTTACTATTGTATGGGCTTTGGGTGTTTATCCTGTTGAAAGTGAAGATCGTGAGATGGAAGTTACTCTTTTTGTTCCAGTAAACGAAGATGAGAGAGATCCTAATACTCAATCAGTTTTTGTGAAAAGCGAATATTATAGTGTTTGTGGAAAGGTAGTAACTGGAACTTACAACGGAAAATTTAGATTAAAAGTAAGTTTTTTTGTATTTAATAACATATGATTGAATTATTTTATTAATGTTTATTAAATTTAGATGATAGCTATGTTGTCAACACACTTTACACTTAAAAGAGATCTTGGTTCTAATAGATGTCTATTAAAAGCTTTATTAGTTAGTGTTGCTCAGGATCTTCCAAAGGAAATTGATAGTGAAAATGCAATGTTTGAATTATCAGTAAACGATTATGTTGGCAAAAATCATTATTTTATTGTCAAGATCGTATTTCCATGTTATAATAGCTAATTCAAGTATCTTATAAATTCTGTTCGTCAGAACGAATCGGTACTTTTTGTTGTTAGACATTTGGAAGTTATTCAGCAAGATTTATACATATATACTGCTGATACTTCTTTTGTCAAGGTTTGTTCTGCGGTTAAAAGAAAATTTTCTAGTTCAAGTGATTCTCAAACTACATCTGGTGAGTATAGGTCTGTTCGGTCAAGACTTTTAACTGCTCACCAGAATGTTATTAAAAAATTGCCTCAAGTATCTTCAGTTGAAGCAAATAAATGTTTAGTAGATTCAGCTACTAATGGTCCATATTCTACACATATTAGAGTTGAAGATACTGAAGATAAAGATCTTTATGTTGAACGTTATGAGGAACATGTAGATAATCATAACGGACACGAAAGTAGTATCATGAATAAAAGTAAGAAAATTGTACATGGTTGTGGGAAGAGAGATAAGGGTAAAGAGAAAATAACACAACCTGTAGTGCATAATACAAGAAGTCAGACGGAAATGTTTAAAGATACGAATGATGAATAGTTTTGCATATATAACTTTTTTTTCGTTGTGTTATTTTTTTCATTATAAATATATGATAACTTAGTTTTGATATTTTTTTTTATACGATCGTAAATTTATGGTATTAATGATGATGTTACATGTTTATTACTAGTTATAAAAAGTTCTAGTTTGACATATTTGTTTATTTAGTTTTATATACATTTATGATATTTTTATTAAAAATTAACATTTGATATATTTAATATCAAAGTGTAAGATATTATAGTGAACGTAATATAAGTATTAAAAGATATTGTACTATTTTGTTTGCTAAAAGATAGTATGCATAGTACAATAATTCGAGAATGTCTGAATTAAAGAAAGAGAGTTAATTGTTAAATGTTAGTGAGATTTTGCTCTATACTATTCGTTTGTGATTGTTGATTATAGCAATTAATGATATGATTAATTTACATAGTGTTGATTATTATAATGAATCGGGATTAATTTAATGAAGTAATGGTGTATTTAGTTTTAATGTAATACTTTATTTTTTTTACTTCAATTGATACTAGTGTAATATACATCATATAGTTTTTATTGTTTTGTTGTACTAGATGGCATTAGGCCATGTAACTAATTTTTAAGAGTTTTTCAAAACGTTTAAGTTCTTTTTTAAGGTTAGAATCTATAGTAACATTAAGTTTAGACCAGTCAAAAGGTTGAAGTATCATGATATCTTCTAACTTTTGTACTCGTGATAATATTACATAAATACCCACCCTTTTGTTTCCACCATCTAGATCAACGATTGCTTTTTTTAATGTAGCACCTTGATATTTAAATTTAGTTATCGCAAATGCTAGAGTGATAGGTAATTGTTTCCTCTGAAATTCTCAAGTTATATTTGTTTCTTCTCTTGTTTTACATATATATTTGCATTTTCATTTGATTGGATATATTGGTACATAATTTAGCAGAAGACCATCGTATGTATTTGGTTTTTGGCTGAGAATTTCTATTATTATATATTTGGGAGGTTTGTTAAAAATGATAATTTTTTCTTCTTTGTCATTTACGTTCTTTATAATTAATAATGTAACATCGTATACTATTTCATAAAGTGTTCCCTGGGCTCTATTAACCATACTATCATTTGTACAGATATTGATCGTCAAAGCTACTTTCATGCCTATTGATAGTGGTATTATACCATATAAAGCATTTGATTTTGTGTCTGTTACGCTTAGAAACTTTTGTCATATGTTGCCACAGATAGATTTGTTTTTGTATGTATCTTCTGCATAGATATAATAAATTAGTTATTTGTGGTCTTTAGCATGTTTGATTGTGGCTTCAAAATTGATTTGAATTCGTAAATCATTTCTCTGGACTAAAAATACAGTATCCTTCTATTCAGGTGAATTTATTTCACATTCTGTTATTATACGACTATAGAGAGTTTCATATTGTGACGATGTCATATGACCATGTCATAAATTGTCTAGCATTGTCGAATATTCTAAGTCATTAATTTGACGCATTTGTTTTTTAAGAATGATTATATGTTTTATCGATTTCTATAATACTCTACTATTAATATTTATTAAAGTTCGAGTATTAATAGGATTTGTAAGCTGTGAAGTTATCGTTTTGTTTATATTATTAGGCTTATATAGAGGCAGGTCGAGAACTGGAGGAAGTTGTATAAAATTGCCTACAAAAACTATATTTAAGCTAGCAAAAGGTATGGTATCATTTTTTGGATATTTTGTTTCTTTAAGACATGCAAGAAATTTAGTCAAAAGGTTTTGTCCTATTATAGAAATCTCATCTATTATAAGGTATTCTATATTTGCCTAATGATTCTGAAGAATTTTTTTTAGTTGTCCTTGTAGAAAGTTATATTTATAATCGTCATCATTATCATCACTAAATTTAAAACCACATAAGGAGTGAAGGGTACAACCTCGGATATTAGACACAGCAAAGCCAGTCGGAGCACAAATAGCAAGAGTTTTTTCTTAACTGGTTTGTTTAAAGTATTTACAGATCATTTCGATTACTTTTGATTTTCCAGTGCCTTCAGCACCACCTAAATATATTAATAATTGAGATGGTTTGTTAGGACTACTAGGATAATTGCGTTTACGATGATTACAAATAAGCAAAACAGCTTTTTTTTGTTCATCGTTAAGATTAGTTAAAATTTCGTGAAGCGGGTCTATATGATTTAACTTTGATTGTAAGTAAGAAGTATGTGCGAAAGATCCTAGTATATGTGTTTCAATAGGATTTGTATCACTATTTATCCAATCTGTTTTTTTTCTTGTTTCTATGATTTCTTGCCATCGTTGAATTAAAATATCGTCATCATAATTTGAAGGTCGGATTTGATTACTGTCATACAAATCACTAGTTTCATTTTGAAAATTTGGTTTATTTTTAATGACAAATTTTTTTTTTAAATATAAATGTAACATGGCATCATCAACAAATTTTATATTTTTTAGTCCTGAACGCATAATCATATACGGGTTGAAGATTAAGTTGTTAGAGTAGTCATTGATTTGGTCATCTAACATTTCTATATTGTTATCCGGTATTTCATAGCCTACTACAGATCTTTCTACTCGTTGGATCTTTGCAAATTCAGGATTTTTAAATAACATTTTATGCAATTGACTGTCTAATTCTGTTTCTTCCGTGCATCGATGCAAAAGTTTGATATTTTCAATTATTGACTGTAATCATGATGATAGGTTATAGCTTTGTAAAAAATTAAAACATGCTTCATACCACGAATTATATTCTGTTATGAGGTTACTTGCAGTGGTCCATGGCTTAAAAAGCATAAGGATGCAAAGTCCATAACGTTCTGCATTCTCCGGATCTTCTTTGCATGGTATACCCTTTTCGCATAGCAAAGGTATTCTTTTGTTTTCATAGCACCATTGAACCTGTATATGTGTTGAGTGTTGTGGATATATAATATTATGATCACAAGTTTCGTCACATTCTTTTTCTTCACCTTCAAAAAAAAACCTGTCTACTCTCATTACTCACCTATCACGATTTTTTTGTCTCATTAGTTTATTTATTTCTTTTTCATTAATTTTTATTTTATAGATTGTCGCAGCATAGTCATAAAGACACATATTTTCTAATTGTTTTCTGCAATATATGTAATCTATTTGTAAATTAATCACAGCTATTTGTCTACCTAAATTAGTTATTGTAAATATCTCATTATCTATTGTATCATTTTCCTGTTCTTTATTATCAGTACTATCATTGCTTTGGTTATCTAAAGTTGTTGATTCAAAAAAAGGTTCAATTGGGTATTGTAACATTAAGTATGCTTCAAAAGAACTGAGATTAATTGAAACAAATTTATTTGGTGTGTAGTGATCATTGATGCCTAGAAAATATGCTGACACCTGAAGTCCGGTCATTTCTATTTGCCCTATAATTTTATTGAGACACATTGTAATTAGCCGTCGTGATCTTACTGTAAATTCTTCTGATAATTCATTTGATACTTTATCCATGAATTTGTTTAAAGTCATAGCACACATAAGAAACGAATTATGAGTATTCATATCAGTCTTGGTTATATAATCTGTAATATAATGAATATATACTAATACTAATTTAACTGTTGAGATAAACTTAATGTCATTATTTCCACAGCTGCTGGCAGTTATATAGGAATTATGATTATTAATATAAGCATTGAGACATTGAAGGATGATAATTCCTAGTTTAGAATAAATCTTTCTAAGTATTTTAACTAACTCCTGAAGAAAATCAAATCGACAGTTAGACGTTTTGACCCGATGGTATTTTTTACATGATCTGGTACATTTATGAACAAGTGTACATTTTGCAATTGCAAGAATATCAAGACGAAATTCTTCGTTGAAATTAGAAGATCTAGGATCTGGAATAGGCAAAAATAACAGATGTATTTTTCTTTCTTCTCTTGTTTTTTGTGTTTTATACTCAGCATCTAACATTTCATCAGTCATATAATTACTATCAGGAAAAAGATAACTAATATCTTCCTTAACAATTTCATTTATATAATTCAATAATCGTATTCCAAATTCTTCTTCACTTTGAAGGCGATTTCGTATTTTTATAGGATTAAGGGCTCCATAAAGCCAAATCAACATATGGCAGTACAGTGTACCACGATCCTAATACTCTGTTACCGCATAATAATTTTTTATTTCACCTAATATACCACCACCTGACTTTCCATAACTGAGAATAATCTTAATAATATTTTTTATAAGCACGTTATAATATTTAGCTACTGCTGTTGGATCAAGATAAGCTAACTTAGCTCTTTCAGTCGCTGTGGGAAAATTCTCCAGTAACAAATTACTTATATCAATTTCTTTTCCTGCGTACATCATCACAATTGGACTGTAGAGATCTGCAGAATTAATTGTCATGAATAATGAGGGTGTACTATCTCGTATAGTAATAGCGCGAATTTCATTACAAAGACGTTTACGTGACTGATATGATCCCATAATTTTTTTACCAACAACATTGACATTTTTTAAAAGCTCAAGCACAGACTTATTAGTTACAGATTGATTATTCTGTTCTTGATCAATCGCAATTTTTATGTCATGTGGTATAAGTTTTGAAATTAGTTCAGCAGATCTCTTGAAATTCGCATATTTAGCTATTAAGTACGTTTCTGAAGTAATGTCTTTTCTCCATAAAATATCAAATATAGCAAAAATAAATGAACAATGATATCTAAATTTATAGTCATAAAGTCGCAACAAATATTTAATGTATTGTTTAATTGGTACATGTTGTTTGCGAAATTTGTCTTCATGGCCACCAATTCCATAAGGAAACAAGACTAGAAACGCAGCAGGTAAGAGCGTCGAATCAGTATACTCATTTTTAGGTTTGTTTGAATATAGCACCAAGATTACATTTGAACAATTTTTATTATCTGATGAATCTTGTATTATCTTTTCGAGTAATTTTAATGCGTGGTCTCTTTCAGAAATAAGATTATTATATGCATATGTCATACCCGAGCTTCTTAGGTTAGAAATACTGTCAATAGATTCATATAATTCAGTATAATTAGAAATTTCTTCTTCCAAATCGAGCTCTTCATCTGTGTAAAAATAATTATCATCTATCAGATCTGTTATATATCTAATATAATGTTCTATCTTTTCTAGATCAATATCAGCTATTACAGTAGTTGCTCTTAGAGCAGTCAGTATTTATCTTCTGGTAACAAATTCAATATTATTTCATCTAATTCGATATTTCTATATAAAATATTATGCTTCATTAACCAGTTTAAAGCAGCAGTGACTCTATTTTTTCTTACACGCAATACTTTTTTCAATTGTTACTCTGATAGTCATTCTTGTCCAACAAATACAACTTTTAAATAATCACATAATCAGTATATGGGTAATAGTAAAATAGTAGCTAGAGACATTGGATTTTGTATAAACGTAATTAT